CCAGCATGGGCAGCAGCCATTGCTGGTGTTTTTGTGATTACTTCAGTATCACTTTCCATTTTTCTTTTGCTCCATCACCTATCAGCGTACAAGAATCCGGAGGTTCATTTATGCTTCTATTTTCCAGTGCTTGTTCATTTATTGAACGCAGTTCCTGATTATCGATTATTTTGGTGTTTTGTGTGCTTCTATAGGAGCAAAAGTTTTTAGTTGGTGTTATCTTGATGGTCCCTTGCTATGCTGTTGAGTCGGTAAGAACTCCCCTCTAAAGAATTCCTGTTTAAATCTAGCACATTTTTAATACTTTGAAGAAGGTTTTGTTCATTCCTTGGATGCCAATATTTTTATGATGGTCTATTTACAATTTAATAGGCTAACTGTCACATATTCCAGATTAGTTCACTTGTTTTGCATGAATAACTTTCTATGTGCTGTAAATATCAATAATTGTTATCAATGTTATCATTAAGGAATAAATCTAATAAGATTTATTTATTTTTCTATATTTAGAGTTTAAGATGTAGAATAGCTCTAGGTTCTTCTCTAGAAGGCTTATAAATTGTTTGAGATGCTACTGCGTCTTCAATTTTGAGTGCCAGCAGTTTATTGTCTATTTGTTTGTTATCATTTGGTAAAATAGTGAAAATGTCTCTCTAGATAATTAGCTATGGTGATGATGCTTCCAAAGGAGTCCGATAATTTCTTTTACAGAATTCTGGAAAGTCACAGTTATGCTATTTTTGGGGATGAGTGGCGTATATATAAAAGGAAAAATAGCTTTAGAAAGTTTTGGTGAATTGGTTGAAATATTGGCCATATTTTCAGTTTCTTAACTTGCCATCTTCAATTGCAAACTGTTGCACCTAAATGTGGAATTGGATGCTCTTTAATAGTGGTGAAAAGTGATAAAGATAAAGATGAAGCATTCATATTCAAAAGGGCTGATTAAAATTGATAAAGCTTTTGATTTGTTTTTTAAAGAGTATTCATTAAAGAAATAATCATCCTATTGATATTGTTGTGTGGATCTGAGTGCTTGAAATCAGGCTTAGACAAACTTATTCGTTAGTTGTTAGCGAACTTGTGAAATGGATTTACAATAAAATTATGATATCTATGGAGCGAAGTGACTATAATTAAGGAGATTAAATTGAAATTTGAATTGGGTAGTTGATAGATACTTGTTTTAGATTTACTGGACAATGCATAGTGGGAAATAAAAGTTTCTATTTGCCTTATGTAAGATATTAGTAGAAGTTCAGGGTGCCGGGGCTTTCAACATTTTGTTAGGGACATTAATTGAGATAGATTAGGCATGTCTAAAAATTTCCATTGCTAGGTTTTGAGCTATTATTATAAGAGAATGTTGATCCAAAGTTTCTTCTTTCTTTGTTGTTGAAGGCCTTTAGCTAAACTCTTGTTAACAACTATTCAAGAAATTACTTGATCCATGTAAAAGCCATGATATTCTAATTTTCTGACATCCATAGGTGATTAGGTTCTCCCTGATTGCTTCTATTAAAATATGAAATCACAATTTATTTCCGCACGAGTAAAGGTCATTTGAGAGGCAATCTGACCATTATGCTTAGCTTTTTTGTTTCTGTTGTTGTTATATTGAACTTGTCAATCATTTGATGAGGCTTGAATCCTTATATCTGGCGGGATTCAAATTTACAATTGTTTTATCTTACCATTTTTTCTCTGTTGGTAGTTAATGTGTTAGGAGCTTTATTTGCCGTGCAATTATGCCAATAAACCAAATGGTCAGGCTATTTAAAATTTTCTTGCAATATTACTTTTTAATGCATCTTAGTAGAATTGCATAATTAAGCTCGTAGTGGCATGCCTATCTTCTTAATTGTTAGTGTGTGTGGAGCCGTGGAGCTTGATAGCACATCAACAACAACACCCAAGGCATTCCAACTCTTGAATGCCATAGGGAAGCCCTAACGCTGAAGAGTGAAGCCTCGATGCCAAAAGGCAAGGCTCTCAGTGAACCGAGCACTGGGAAGTCATGCATCTTGAATGGGCACAACTCCATCGTGGAATGGTCGTTTCTAAGTTCGATTAGAGCATTCAAAATTTTTGTGCTCCCAGAAGAACAAATTTAGAGAAAGCATGTGGAAATGCAGCGCTTGGGAGTGGGGCTCCAACGCCATGAGCAGTTTCTCATCTATCATAATTCAATTCCCTCCCTATTAAGGGTTGAATTAAATAGAAGATTTAAGCAGTTTAAAGGCAATTTTAAGAGATTGATAGAAGAAGAAGAGTAAGCTGGAAGAAGATAATCTTGGAGCTATCAAATTTTGGTATCAAAGTCAAATTTCTTGAAGGTAATCAATTTAAACCCGCGTCATCCCCCACTCCTACCTAATTTGTGACTCTTCCTTTGCAGAAGTGAAGAAAATTCTGAAGTACCTACATCTTGCTCTCCTTAGCTATCATTCTTGTACAAAATTCTTCCCACCTAATCACATCTCTAAGTTAATCGATTCAGACACTCTTCTTCGTTCCAGCTCCAACCAAAACGAAATAAACAAAAGTTCTTAATGTCACCTTAGCTCTGAGACATATATTATTTCATTTATTGTGCTAATACCATTTAAGAGATTTGTGTCAAATGTTTAATTGGCGGAATATGCATATGAAATGTAGAATTATCTTCTAAAATATCTAAAGTTAATTTCACTAAAAATTATTATTAATAATACTATATCTCTCAAAGTCTCCAAACTTTAATAAATGTGTCATTTAGAATAAAATTTACAATAAATAAAATTTGCATTGTAATTTTTAAGCAAAATAATATTTTAAGATAAACTAATAGCTTTATATTATCAAAGATTATTTTGAATTTTTTTTAATTGTTTAGTCATTGAGATTTTTTTTTAATTGTTTAGTTATTGAAAGGAGAAGAATTCACCATTTTTGAAAAAAATTGGGACTTAGTGCAAAAATGAAAATCAAATGACTCAAATACTTCTATGAATGACTCAAATACTTATATAAATATTCTCAAGGAATTGGATAACTTGGCTAGATTAATTGGCTCACCGTACTACTGGATAACTAGCAAAATAATTGCCTTTATGTGAGTTTTGTATCTAGCCCAGACACAATGTCTACTTTACGTGTGTTTTTTGTATGTTTTAAATTTTTTTTCTAAAAGAGAACTATATTTTTTTAAAAAATGCTCAAATTAATTTTTAAATATTTTAAATAGTTTCATAAACAACCATTTTTTAATCAATTAGCTAAACATATTTTGTTTCAAACCAAAATGTAAACAAAATAAAATTTAAAAATAGAATATAAAAAATAAAAGTGATCCCAAACCGCACTTTACATTTTCCAGGAGTTTTTCTTCGGCACTTTTGTGTGATGTCATTAACTGTAAGTATAAATCATGATGTTCTAAATGGTATTTTTAACGAGAAGAAGTCAACATGCGTTTTATTTAAAAAGTATGTGCTAAATTGTTTTAGTAACAGATGAGCATGTACTTTGTGAATTAATTTCATGATTGGAATTTTTAATTCATCTCCTTGACACTCTTATGTTTATGTTCATATTTATTTATTCTGCAAACTCTCATGCATAGGTCAATGTGCTCATTTAATGTTTTTCTTTTCATTTTTAAATAAAATGATTGAAATGTTCAGTATTCATCTCCATTTGGACTTAAAGAAAAATATTTCTTTGGATTTTAAAGTTAAAAATGGTAACACCTTTACCATCGTTAGAGTTTCGAGGCCATCCTTACCAATGCCATAATGCCTTATTCTGATGAATTATGAAGATTAAGGATTGGGATGCAATATTATCACTAGATCATACTCATTTGAATGTACCGTTGTTTGGGAGCATTATGCTTTTCTGCTTTTACTGAGAAATGTAGAATTATTTACTGCTTTGAACTACTCAAGTGCTTTTGAAAGAGCCATTGGATGCTCTTTATATATTCATTTACTTTTTCTAATTATTTTGATATTTTCTAGCTTGTATGTTATCATATGAACATATTCATATAGTTGCCTAAAGTGCAATATTTTCTTTTGTTTCAGTACGTGTCATTAGTGAACCCAACGTTAAGTGTTGATTGTGGAATCATCCGTGATAGCTACGAGTCCTTTGCCATGTACTGTTTTGGAAGATATCTTGTTGCTTGCTTGGGTATGGTTCGTTACGAAATTTTCTTGGATAAATTTACCTTATTTTTTATTTAATTGTTATAATTTTATTAGTTTTATTTCAAGAATCTGAATTGTAACATATGTTTCACAATTACACGTTATCAGGTAAATGCTTGCTTTATGTAATGCTTTAAATGCTTGAAACGTGGAAAGCTTATTTGCTGAGACAATGATGGTGATTTAGCTATCTGCTTCTTTGATAATTGCATGGTTGCTTCCCATAAATGCTGATAGGCTCATTGTTGAAAGATCATATGCTAAAAAATAATTTGGTTAATATTTGAAAACAATTCTTTCCATTGATGTTGTTGCTTGAAACTGAGATTATGCCTTTTTCACAGGTTGATGTAAAATACTTATTTTTTTTGTTGTCTGTTAGCAACACTGTATATTGACACTTTAATGATATCATAAACTTTAGTAAGGTGAAGTTTTATTAGGATTATTTATGATATTCCTTTTCATTAGCAGATCTAATATGCTTGATAGTAGTGCCATATCGGGTAAGGATCATTTTATGGAAGATGGGAAGGATTGCACACTTTTCATATTTATTTTTCATGATGAAAAGCCAGGTTCCACATAATTAATCTTCTATGAAAGTAATAAATTTTATATGAATCTTCTATGAAAGTAACAAACTATTTGGCCCTAGTAATATTAGTGATATGAGTTTGTCTCCATACATCAATGTGGGTTAAGGAAAAAGACATTAAGGTTTCTAAATGGGTTTGGAAATAGGTAACTCTATGATGTTTTTGGCTTTGGCACATCTTAAATTGGAACTCATTAAATTTTATTTTTTGAATAATATAAGAATATAGATTGTAATACACTGAAAGATGGATGACCCATCTGACTATGATTGAGTCAATTTTGTGCCTTTAAATGAGACCGATGTAGGTGATTATTATCACTTTTGTCCGTATAGCAGAGGCCTCTCTTTTTAGCATACCCAATCAGCTTGAAATATATAATGAGTATAAATATACATTGAAATGCAATTTAAGTCTATTATTAATTTTTTAAATTGATATTATGTTGATGGGTTATTTATATAAGTGATGCGAGTTTATAGATATCTTTCTTGCAATAGCAACTAGGGTTGCAGCAGCTATTATTATTTTATGGTTTGTTGGAAAGGGTATATGAGAAGAGAATTCAGCTGAAGAGTTGGTCCTGTGATATATTTCTTTTGAGTCGATTATTTTATGTTTTGTTTATACTAATTTAGAGGCACATGAGAGGTGGGAACTGGAATATTCACCTAACCTAGCCATAGACCATAGGCTCGTTGGTTTAACCAATGCCATCAAGAAGGTAATAAGTTTCTTTATTTTTTTTCTTGTTTCAGCCCTTATATTTTATAAAAGGTCTTTTCTTCCATGGAAGTAGTGTTAGCCTGATGTTGTTTGCATTGGTTTTGCCATAGAGACCATTTTTACTGTATGGAGGCTCCCCGAGTTGCCAACATGGCTTTTGTATGCTCCACTTTTTTAGAAAGTGTGCAAAATATATCTTTTGATTATTGAACTTTGGTGGGCCTGATTTGGGTTTTAATGGTTCTTTCCTTATTATGTTTACTATAGGGACAACAATTAATGCATCACACTAAAAAATGAGTGGTGTTTCTATTATAACATCACATCTTCATTCTTCACTTTTAATAGTAACAAAAACTAAATTCAGATTCGGATGGGAGTTTTCCTAAGTTATTTTATGCAGACTTGGTTGTATTATATATTTTATCTACCTAAGAATTCATAAATTCTTCCTCCTATAAAAAAGTTCATGGCATTAAAGTATTTTTGTTATATCTTATTTTGATACGCTGGTATCAATCTAGTTCGAGATATAATTATTTTTACTTTTGTTGTAATATTTTGTGATCTAAAGAGTATCTGGTTTGGTGTTGTGGATTTTTATCTTAATTTTATAGACTTATGTAACATCATACACTTGAGAATATGTTCACTTTATCCTGTCCTGCATATCTTTCGACAGCTAGAAACATGTAAGTGTCGCTGAATTCCATAGCATGGGCATAATTGAGGAATCTCTTACATATCGTATGGAAAAATTGGTATTTTCTTTGCTTGATATGGGGCCAATGAGGCGGCTTATTTCCTATTTTTTTAAAGGAACGTTTTTTACAGTTTGGGACCAAACTAGATAATTTCTTAAAATTAGTCTGAGTGAAGATTGTGGTTTTGGTACTCAGCACTAAGGTTTGATTCACACGATTTGATTGATCAACAACTTATGATATAAAAGACATCTTAAAGAAGAAACAAAATCCCTCTTGGTGGTTGTTAGATAAAGTCACTGGCGTTGTGGTGGCTTTCATTTGGCGGAGATGGTAAGATGGAAGTTTTGGACAGAGGTTTGCTACGATGGAGGCATCTGCTTTGGCTAGATATTACTAAGTGTTTACGTTAATGTATTCGTAGAATAAAATATGCAGGTGGTTAACCATGTTTGTATGTTTGCATCTTTGGAAATAAGAAAAGATATTCTATAGTTTGCAAGTGTTTAATCTACCCAGAATCTGGAGGTGAGTTCTGTTCAAGATCCAGAAATTACCACTTTGGATGACCACCTCGCTTTTCCATGGATTGCCAAAACTACCCGACACAAAGGAGCGGCCGACATTTTGCTAATATTTAAAACATACACTGAGATGGAACTGTTTCTCTGGTAAAAATTTGAATCTGCTTGATATAAAGGTTGCATTGAATATTGATTTAAATTTTTTATGGTTGTTTTGAATGGAATGGCATAGTTGCTTTCATCCCCACTTCTAAATATCAGACATAAATACCATGCATATATGCATGTGGCTGTTGAACTTGTTAGATTGATATATTATACTCTCTTCTGTTTCTATTTTGTGTAGATAACTTTGCTGAGAATGTTTCATTCCTCTTTACCTTTTTCTAATAAGTTTTCCTTTCCAATTTAGGCGGCGAAGAAAGAACGATTGAGTTTATGAAGAGGCAAGGTGGTTCAAATTCTAAGCAACCTCTTTTACATTTTGTATCTGAAAAGGGTATAATAAAGCATCACTTCCCAATGAATTATTTTTTAAAGCCATGGAGATTGGGTGAATGGTTTTACCAGGTCATCAAAATTGGTATTGTTCAATATGTATGTGGCTTCGGACTTATGCTCACATTTCACACTTTTCATGAAGAAGTATTTACATACATACCACCCATTTTCAATGTTTTTACTTATCTAACACCTAAGCTTTGTTTTTTTTCATGTATACCACCTAAATCTTTCAAATCACATAAAATATACAACTATTTTAACTTTTAAAATGTGAAATACACCTTTTCATGCTTAGGAAAGGTGGCATGCATGTAAATACAACTATTTTAATATATAAAATTTGATGTTTAGGTGTTAGATATTTAAATACATAAGAATTGAGTGGCATGCATGTAAATCTTCCTTCATGAATTCCAATCCTTACAAACACCACATGGATTCCGAGTTCAATTAATTTAATAATTTTCTTTATGCAGATGATAATTAAAACTCTTACTGCCATTCTGGCCGTTTTTCTTGAAGCCTTCGATGCATATTGTGATGGAGAGTTTAAATGGAAGTGTGGGTAAGATTCATTTGTTGTTTTGGCAGCTGCTTGTGGCTTCCTAGCAATTAGATATTGCTTTAGCTGTGTATTTTACTTCCGATTTTGGATTAAAGTGCGAAAGTAGTCCGCTGATTGCTTACATGTGGTCATCTTAGTCCCCATGTCTATTAAAATGCTAAATTAGACCCCAGACTCTTTAAATATGAGCTGAAATGGTCCCTAGGATAGACTATTTTAGCCCTCATTAAAAAGTCTGGGAACTAATTTGACACTTTTATAGATCTGAGATTAAAATTGACCTCTAGAAAGAGTTAGACCATTTTGACACTTTTTTCTTTGAGAGTGTGACTAAGTTTCTTATTTGTTATAATATAATTGTAGGACCTGTTCTAAATGTATTATTTGTTTTAACGGGTAGTTAGATATATTTACTGGTACATATTTATTCCATGTGGATTCATTCTGATTCGCTCTGTTGAAGTTTAGGTTAAATATCTCTTGTCCATCACAATTTATCATAGGTTTTGTCCCCTTGCTGATATTGCTGTTTTGTATGACCCTACGGATTTATATTGCATGCTTTTTGTTTATTGATATAATTAAGATATTTCTAGCGTATACTTTTAGCTATAAAGGTGCTATGGCTTATATTCATCTACGGTTAAAAGTGAGGAGCAGGGTGTTGACTTTATTAAAATAAGTTGTAAATCGTTTAAAGTATATATAAAAGAGAGAAGACCCATATAGAAGGCAGGGTTTTGATTGACCAACTTCAAATTTTATAGTGCTAAGAGGCTATTTTATATTAAGTGTCTTCAGCATTGATATTTAATGCTAGTGTGGAAGTAGTGCCACTTTTATTCTAGTGCTTTTTGGCATCAATTTTAAAACAAAAGCTCTCTTTAATATAGCTCCGAAACCTGAAATATCATCGGATGAGCAATCATTACATTTATTAATTTCATGGCAACAGTTTTCTTGCTGGTATTATGATGAGAAGTTTGATTGAAAGTTGAATGAAGTAAGTTTTGAATGAGAGTTCTGGCTTGTTTTGAATCACTTGAAATTGAAGGTGGCTACAATAAAAAATTTGAAACATTTTTTGAATCATGGCAAAGACAACTAAAATAAAATTCATCCTGGCCGAAGACATTGTGATACCATAGTTAACTCAAACCACAATAGGAAAAACAAATATTATTACTGAAAGCATATCGACAATCACAATCAAACACAATTGAAAGGGAAATTACAACAAACACGAAACACTCACACTAGGGCTCGATCTCGGGGTGGTGGAGGTCAGTTAGATGGTTGGGAAGCGGAGGTTGGTGACTGAAATGGGTTGTGGGTGGCTGGGACAGCAAAAGGAGGGGTTGGAATCGCTTTGGCAGCGAAGCGGAGGCTGGGAGACCAAGAGACAGCGAAAGAGAAGGGCTGTGGACTGCAGGACAGGAGTGCTGTTTGGTGCGGGGTAGCAAGCAGGGACTGCAGGGACAGCAGGATAGGCTGCAGTCGAGGTGGCAGCGAATCGGAATGATGGTTGGACCGCAGGAAAACATCAAATTTACTGTTTTCCAGATAATAGCAGTTAGGGCCGGCGACTAGAAGTGATGCGGGAAGGTCGGGGAGGATGGTGGCGGCTGTGTGTGATGGCAGCAAGGCGGGGAAGGGCGCTGTAGTTGAGGACCTGCCAAAAACAGCCAAACGAGGCTGAGCCTCTTGGCAGCTGCAACAAGGTTTGGTTAAACAACTGAATGACTCAGTTAAAAATGCTGGACTAAATCGAATAGAACTAACTAATAGGAACATGACTCAAGTCCATAAATATCCCATAGAATGGTACTAGGCTAAAGATAATAAAATCAAAAGAAAGTGATTTTTCTGATGGTGTCCTCGTCTAAGAGCACGATGAAAATCAAGAAAGAGAGAGCTTCACTTAAAAGAGCATATGATTGGATCAGAAATAATATAGCCAAAATAGCATAATTACATAGGAAATAGACTTGGCTACGAGAGCATGGATAAGTCAAAGGTAACTATTGTCTATTTATAAGGAGATTTATGGGCTCACTATAATGGGTGAACATCAGCAATATCTGATAATATATTTATTTAGAAATTGTATATTTATAACAAATAATAATAAAAAAAGGGAATTAATATTAGCAAACAAACTAAGAATTAAAATTTGCTTTCCTCTTATGCACTTGTTCTAGGCAGAGGCCTTGGCGCTCGATTCCTCTTATCTTAAAATTGATCATGAAAGCATAAGTTACTTATGTAGAAAATTTTCTTCGAGCATAAAATTCCAAGAGCTTTGCTTCTAAATAAATAAAACCTTGTGTTTTGTAATTATGTAATTGTGATAATGCATAAGGTACTCATGTAGAAAGTTATTGCCAAGTGTAATGCATCGAGGGGTTTGTTCCTTAACAAATAGGATTGCAAGCTTACTAATACTGCAATTATGATTATAATATAAATAACAGAGACATCATCGGAAGCCTGTTTGTTTATAATTCTAGACTGGATGAAGTCATTCTTAAAAGGTATTGATAGGCATAACCTTGTACGCATCGGCTTCAAATGTGATACTATTTATTCACTCTAATGTGATACTATTCATCCTGTCATGAAAAATGGTAACAAACCTTTCTTATACAAAATGAAGTTTCGAATACACATCCTGATTGGATGATTAAAGACTTCACTGCATTATTGTTCCTTGTTATTTTAGTTGGCTACATTTTTTTGCTGAAAGTTACAGTATTTGCCACTCGATTCAGAGTCCAATTTTAGGCTTATTGTATTTGCACGGTAATGAAAAGATACCTTTAACCTTTTTTGGCTACATCTTTTTAGCTGTTGTCTTATATTTTCAGGTATCCTTATATGGCAGTGGTCCTCAATTTCAGTCAATCATGGGCCTTATATTGCCTAGTGCAATTTTATGCTGCTACGAAGGATGAATTGGAGCATATAAACCCATTGGCAAAGTTTTTAACGTTCAAATCAATTGTTTTTTTGACTTGGTGGCAAGGTGTGGCTATTGCATTATTTTATTCGCTGGGTTTAGTGAAAAGCCCTATAGCTCAGGCCTTGCAGTTTAAATCAAGCATCCAGGACTTCATCATTTGCATAGAGGTAATCTGATTATATTGAATGTTCGGGGCATTTACATACCACACAATTCTTATGGATTTACATATCTAACACCTAAACTTTAATTTTTATATTTATAACACTCAAATCTTTCATATCACATCGAAAAGACCACTATTACTAATGTTTAAAAAGTGAAATACACCTTTGCATGCATTGGTAAACTGACATAATTGTAAAAATCAGAATTTAAGTATTAGGTATGTATCATGTATGAAAATCTTCCTTAGTGTTTTTCCTCTTTTCATTCTATGTCCGGCTATCTGCATTTTGTTGAACTTAATCATTTCTGATTAGCCTTTTTTATGAATGAATATATACTATTAAATCATGGTAAAGGATGAATTTATTCTGATATATCTGTTTCTAATACAAGTTGATTTATAGATTGGCCAGCTTAACAACAATAACAAGCCTTTATCCCACTTAGTGGGGTCGGCTTCATGAATCCTTTTTCTTCTTTGGTCAGTTCATTGAAAAAAAATTATTACTTTAATATGTTGATGGAAGGTTTCTTATTGAAATTCAGATGATCTTTCACTTAAAGACACGAGTTATAGATGATCCTTCACTTGAGTAACATAATGCAGGTTACATACATGCAATTTTTTTTTTTCAAGTTCCAAATAGGAAAGGTATGTTTCTTATGATGCGGCATTGTGGCTAAACAATGGAAATTTAGTTGAATGGCGATTAATAATGCTATGTTAATTGATTGAAAGATGAACTTAAAGATGATTAATTGTATTAGAAATGTATTAGTTTGTGATTAGAATTTAGAAGATGGAGATGAAGATCGAAGAGGTAGGTAACATAAAAGGATGGATGGAAAAAGGGAGATACTAGTTAGGAGAAATGAGAGAAGGAATTTGAGAGAATTATGCGGAACAACTAGGACGGTTTATGATAATGAAAATAATATCCTACTAACTCTATATACTAGCTATTTTAAATGTATTTTTCCCCTTAGGCCTAGGTTAAAATTTGTCAATCTTCTAAAACATTTGGGTCAAATCATCAATTCCAAGTTATAAACTATGCAAGAAATGAAAAATGTGTTGTGAACAGTAATCTTGTTTTAGGCCCTCTATCAATAAACATATGCCACGATTCTTCCTTTTTAGGAGCAAGAATGACACGGGTGCTAGGGCATGCGCTCGATTATGGGCGCTGAAACAACGCTCGGTTTGGGCACAAAAAAGCGCCCCAACGCGGGACACTGAGAACCCGTGGTGCTGAAGCCCCGTGAAACATCACGACGTGGGAACCTGCGAACTCGCGAATGTGAGAGAGCGGGACAACGAGACCATGATCCCACTTGTAGAACAGGGATCAAATCGTGAATCTTCACGATCCAAGGCTGCTTCATGCACCTTACACACTAGTCTTCTTATGGATTTTTCTTGACCCTCTTCCTTTATGTAGAAGTTTCTTTTAGCAGTCTATAAATTGCTGTCGTTGTGTATGTGGGAGGCAGATTGAGTTCCGTTTGAGTTTAGTTTTAGGTTTCCTATGTGGAGTCTTTTTCTCTTTGTGGGGTTGTATCCGAGGAGGTGGTGGGGCTCTGACTGTATCCTCTCCGAGGTGGTGATTGTATCCTCCCTCTATACCTTTTCCAATCCTTCTCCCCTTCACTCTGCCACTAAACTCTCTCACCGTAACCCCCGACACCCAACTATTCCCCCTTTATGCAGATTATTATTGTTGTTCCGCCTATCTAACTTCTTTCAAGCTTCGCCCAACCACTCCACTACTGCTACATATCATCCCTTCTCACTTATTCTTCATATAGTATCGCACCTTCCTTTATCTAACATCCGTCTTTTATGGCTGTCGTCATCCCTCGTAGTCATTCATATCCCTCTAGTCGACCTTCATTACCCGATGGGATACATTTAGGAGAGTTTGCTTGCCATTTTATGTTTGAATTGTTGTTTTCGTTCGAGTCATGTTGTAATTCTATTTTAATATTAATGAAAGTTTGTTTTTTATGTTTCCACTGTTTTCCCTAGTAGTTCCGGTATCATTTGGTATCAGAGCTAGCCCGACCTTAATTATATCCTAGGTGTTCTTGCGTTCACCAATGCCTACAAAATTTCCTTCCTACCACCCAATACCCTTTCCAGTGCCACACTTTCCTAAGCCTAAATTCCCTTCGCTGATCTACCCAAATATTTTTACCCTTTTTCACCTCCGCTAAAAATTTTTCCTCCCTATTCGTATACCTTAACCATGCGACAAAGGAGATCTTTGCCCAAGCCTACCTAGGACGAGATACGACAGAGCTCTGTCGTCTTCAGCAGAGACTTATGAATATTGAAGATAAAATTCAGTTGGAGGTTACCCTCGACTCTGATCTGGAAGGTTGAAGGGAAGAACAAGACAAAATGAATATGAAGTGGGAAACACGATGCCAGTTCTTACCAACTTACTACCGCCAAAAGTTGCAGATTCTAGCTTTCGAAGAGGAGAGACCTTATCACCAAGTGACCCCCCCTTACTACTATCCAATGAAAACAATCCGCAAAACTATCACATCCAGAAAATGTTGTAAGTGTCACGGATTTGGACATGTGGAAGTAGAATGAACAACCGGTGGATTGATCTATTTCATGGAGTAGGGTGTTGTTGAGACCTCGCAGACCCTGAAGAATAGTTCAAACAAGAACTTTCATCCGATGAAGTCTTCCCCCAGAGAACTCCCTTATTCATGAATACATCCAGTGTAGTTATTGCTCTTCTAGAAGATGAGGAACTTTTTGTTGACACATACAATGTTCACACAGACCAGACGATGTTAGAATTTAAAATTTCATTAGATATTAGTGATGACCACAACCAACCACATTTCTAGCCCCCACCCCCAATGTTCCACATGAAGAGACTAAAGGCAAGTGTGAAGCTCTTGTTATTGGAACACAACAGAAGATGTCAACTCTCCAAACTTCAAGAGTCAGAGGGAAGACCTGGAAGATAATAAGAATCACCCATCAACCAAACGCTTTCAAATCCTCAACCATGCAGAGGCCCAACTTGTCATAGATGAGAAACATACTAGATATTTACTTGTTAGAAATTTGGCTAGGGAGAAAATGCATAGCAGTGTATCTTCGATTCAGATTACGCCAAACTAGAACAGATCAATCGGGGGGGTATGATCGCAAGTGGGAAAAGCTCCTCAGATGTTTTGGGAGACACGACCGTTGTCAGTGGGATCCAGGAACGACTAGAGAGAACTAGAAGCCTTGACCTATGAAGTCGAAGCTCCCCCATCCTCAGGAGACTAATGCAGGCGCTAGGACAATCGTCCGATTACGGGCACACAAACAACGCTCGGTTTGGGCGCAGAAAATGCACTTATGCAAGCCGTTGCGAACCAACGAGGTTGAAGCCCCGCAAAACATTGCGATGCGGGAATCCACGAACTCGCAAATGCAGAAGAACTGCATAGTGGAATCACGATTCTGCATAAGGAACAGGGATCGGTTTGTGAATCTTCATGATCCAGGGCTACTTCATGCACCTTCCACACTTGTCTTCTTCTGAAAGAGTCTTTCTCCTGGATTTTTCTTGGCCTTCCACTCTATTTCTTTGTGTCGAAGCTCCTTTAGGACTCAATAAATTGTTGTCTTTGTGTATGTGGGAGGCAGATTGGAGTTGTGTTTGAGTTTGATTTCAGTTCTCTTGTGTAGAGTCTCTTTCTTCTTTGTGGGGCTGTATCCGAGGAGGTGGTATTGCTCAGTCTGTATCCTCTTTGAGGTGGTGCTTGTATCCTCCCTCTTTACCCTTTCCAACCCTTCTCCCCTCCACTCCTCTATTGTCGAATTCTCCCGCTGTAACCCCGACACCCGACTATTCCACCTTTCTTCAGATAATTACTATTGTTCCGTCTACCTAACTCTTTTCAAGCTCTGCCTAAACACCCCACTACCGCTACCAACTTTTTTTAATCCTTCAAACTTATTGTGCTGTAGTTTTGCACCTTCCCTTCGCTACCATTCGCCTTTCTTGACAGTTGTCATCTCTTCTAATCATTCCTATCTCTTTAGCCTACCTCCACCACCCAATGAGATACAGTTAGAAGTGTTTGCTCGTGTCATTTTATGTTTGAGTTTTTATTTCCGTTCGAGTTATGCTGAAATCCTATTTTATTGTGAAGAAAAGTTTGTTTCTTGTGTTTCCACTACTTTCTCTACTAGTTTCGGTATCAAAGAAGCTTTGGAATTACATCAAGACTATTAATATCCTCTCTATATATATATAGATGTTTTAATTCAAGCCTGCTCTTTAGGTACATGCAATAATGAGATAGGTGCGAGAAAGAGTCAAATTGATGTGAGAGCTTTTCATCCCGCAGTACTATAACAACTACAGTACTGATGACGTGATCATTGTAGCTGCTAAAATAACCGTGAATCCTTCTTGCTTTTTTAGCTCCCCCAACTCTCATTTTCACTCCCTTTCATAGAGCCTCCTCCCTATTCATTGCCTACCTTACTTACCACATTCAACTTCTATCCTATTTCAAATTCCTTCCTTTTTTTATCCCACCCCCTCTTTAATTCTTGCCTAGTGTAACTCCTCATCTCTCCTAGTTATAGGTGTTGTTTTCTGAAAGTTATACGGTTTTTTGATGAGTGGAGAATTTTGAGTTTTGCCTTTGAAGCGTTCTCTCCCTTTGGGGGTTGCACTCAACGATGTGAAAGTGCTCTGATTGTAACTCATCTGAGGTGGCAACTACCTCTAAGGATCCGTGTGGTGCTCCGAATATAGCTCGGCCCCTTCAACAACTGTCAACCATTTCCAGGCCTCCGATCAGCTGCCCTGTTGTCGTTCACCACTTCCACTTGCTGTTGCACACCTCACTGCTCCCCAAAACCAATTGTCCACTCCTTATTTTCTCCTACCGCCGCCCCTAAGTCCTTGTCCAACTACTGCCATCACCCTCATAACACCTCGCCAGTTGCTATACCCTCATTCCAACCTTCTGTTGCGCCCATCTCCTCCAACCAATCCCTCAACTTGTTGCCTTGTTGCCGTCCACCACCCTAGGGTGTCTTCCATGTTTGTATCGTTGTTATTCTCCTATTATCACTAGTCGTTGTTTATAATTCTTTTGGATTTCAACAATAAAATTATCATTTTTTATTATAATATGGGTTTTTTCTCCAATATCATTCGATATCAAAGTCAGCTCAACCTTAGTTTTATCATAGGGTTCCCTAAATCCACCTCTACCTAAATCACCCCACCAAAATCTTTCTACTCTAAAAGCTTCGTTGAATGAGGTCGAAGCTTTCCCAACCCCGGGAGATTGACGTGGGAGTTTTTTTCATCCCGAGGTACTGTAGCTGCTACAATACCGTAGACACGGTTACCATAGTTTCTACTGTAACCGTTGTTACTTCTTGCATTTTTAGCTTCCCCTTCTCTCATTTTCACTCCCTTCCATAAAGAGTTTTCTTATTCATTGCCTACCTTATCTCTACCATTTTCCACTTCTTTTCTATTTCAAATTCCTTCCTTTTTTATCCCAACACCTCGTTAATTCTTGCCCAACCTATTTTCTAATCTCTCATATTTATAAGTGTTGTTTTCTAAAAACTAGACCGTTTTTGGATGAGTAGAGAATTCTGAGTTCTGCCTTTTAGGTGTTCTTCCTCTCCAGGGGTTGTATCTGGTGATAATAAGGTGTTTCGGCTGTAACTTGTTTGAGGTGCTGACCGTCTCCAAGTGTCCGGGTGATGCTCCGGCTGTAGCTTGGTCAAGACGAGACATTTATCCTTCCGCAGCCCCCTCTGATCCCACTTCTAGCAATTGTCAACCATTTTTGGCCTACGCCCAGCCATGGTCCACCACTTCCACTTGCTGCCGCCCACCTCCTTGCTTCCCAAAACCTATTGTCCACTCCCTATTTTCCCTTGTCACCGTCCCTAAGTCCGTGTCCAGCTTCTGCCATCACCCTCACAACACCCCGCCGACTGCTGCACCCTCATTTCAGTCTCCTATTGCACTTTTCTCCTTCTGCCAATCCCTCGACCTATTTTCCCAAAACCTACCGTCCACTCCCTATTTTCCCCCGTCGCCGTACACCACTCCACCGCCACCCTAGGGTGTCTTCCATATTTGTATTGTTATTATTCTCCTATTATCAAGAGTCGGTGTTTGTAGTCCTTTTAAATTTTAGCAATTAAATTATCATTTTCTATTATAGTTCGGCTTTTTCTCCAGTATCACACATATTGCCAACCCAACCTCATATTGAATATTTGATAAATGTTTGAACTCATCAAATAGTTCATCTGTAGTGATATCATGATTGGTTTAGGGTTTGCATCCAAGGTTTCAACTCTGAGTTCAATTTGTTTGAGATTTTTTCGGTGTAAAGATCCTTTTTTATCATTTTTCTTATTCCACCCTTGAACTTTTGTTTCATCTCTCTCTTTTTATGTGACAAAACTAAGAAGTTGAGAGTTATGAGATGGTTGGTGAGTGAATCTTATTATTATTATTATTATTATTATTATTATAGGAGAGAGACAAATAGGCTAAAAAATCATGCCACCTATGAATCGAGAGTATTGCGTGTGGCATAACTTGAGGGATGAAGACTATTTATTTTGAGTGATTAAGAGTGTGGGAAGATTAATAGGCGGGGCGAGATTGAATTGGTTTAAGATTTACATACAATATTTTAACTTTTATTCTGAATTGGTTGAGATCTTAATGGTGTAGTCATCCTTTTTTATCCTTTCTTCTCTTTCCATTGAAAATTGTTTATTTCTCTATGGATGTGAGAAAATTGTGAGATTGGAGGTTCTTATGGTTAGAAAAGAAATGGTGAGAGAATCTTCTCTTTTATTGAAGGGAAGAGACTGAAAAGGTGGGTAATGCTCCATGATAATGAAGATTGCATCATACTGGTTCCTTGTATAGAAAAAAGCCTTATAATTTTAAGGGGCTTTTACATGCATAGCACCGAAAACTTTCGTGTTTATCTTTCTCACACCTAAACTTTCATAATTACAAATATCATATGTAAAGTAACACTCATTATCACCTTTTTCTTTTCATCCATAGGTAAAGTGTAATGTGTGTAAAAATGAAAGTTTAGGTGTGAGATAGGCAAATCCATAAGAATTGGGTGCTATGTATGTAATTTTCCCTAATTTTAAATATCATCATATTAAAATTAAAATTAAAATCAAATCCTATTATCTACTTAGAATTTAAAACATGCTTATTCAAATAACAGTTCTTAATTTAAACAAAAATATGCTTTAATCAAACAAATACAAATACAAATTCTTAAACTGGTATGATCGGGGTTCAATCTATACTTTTGAGTACTACTTAGTTTTTAATTTGTCTTCCCGAAGAACAATAAAAGCTGACATTATTCTAGGTAGTAAAACATCACGAACAATAAATGTTTGTTCACATTGTGTGATTTGCATAACTATAACACTTCCACAAGCATCAGTGCTTGTGCCTTTGCAGGAGAGCCTTAACAGTAAAATTTTGAATGTTCTACTTTGTGGCTTCCATCAAGTTTTGTTAGGGGCATCTACATAAATACCACCCAATTCCTATTTATTTATATATCTACTACGAAAACGTTGATTTTTACATTATACAACCCAAATCTTTCCGGTGGCATAAAAAACACCACTATTTTAACTTTTCAAAAGCGAAATACACATTTTCATGCATAGGAAAATTAAAATTTAGGTGTTAGATATGTAATACATGCAAATTGAGTGGTCTCTATGTATTTTTTTTTTTATTATTTTATGGTTGATTTCTAATACTATTTTGGCAAAAAGATGTGGTTCCCAATTCTCCTACAATCTTAACAGATTTAGCATGCTGTAACAAATGGTAGTTTCCATTGAGCATAAATGGATGTAGAATACATGCTGATGAGTATAATCATTCTCTTTGAAAATTGAGCTATCTTAATTTTTATGGATTGGAAACTATATTCTCTTACGCAATGGCGCAGCATGTTTGACCTGCAATTTTTTCTTCTAAAGCAGATGGGCATTGCTTCCATGGTTCACTTATATGTATTTCCTGCGAAGCCATATGAGCTAATGGGTGATCGGTTCCCCGGCACCGTATCAGTTCTTGGAGATTATGCTTCCGTGGACTGTCCATTAGACCCCGAGGAAGTTAGGGATAGCGAGCGACCTACCAAGCTAAGGATTCCTCAGCCACCTAATGTCGATTTTAAGAGCGGAATAAACATCAAAGATAGTGTCCGAGATGTATTTCTTGGTGGCGGTGAATATGTAAGCTTCTCTCTTACTTCCTTTGTGTTTGTTTTTTGTAAATCCATGCTTGTTTTGGGCTTGTTCGGAATCACTTTTGTGCTTTGTTTTTGTTTTTGCTTTTATTTTAGAAACACGTATGTTTAGTACATTTATTTCATCTTTTTTTTTCAAAAATAAATTAACTTGTTTTTAAAAACATTCAAAACTTCTAAAAGTTATTTCAAAAGTGTTTTTAGAAACAACTAAATATATTATAACTTCTGAAACATTTTTTACCTTTTCCCTCAAAGATAATCTATTTGGCAGAGTTTGTTTTTCCCCTCAAAGATCATGTTTGAGTTGTGATCATCAATATTTTTTTGTGCTTTTTACTCCTATGTGCATAATCACTTTCACCATCTCAATTTCTCAACCAGTTACAACATACGTATCTGCACGATAAGCATATTTGATTATAACATACTTAAAAACTATTTTTTTCCTTTTGGGAAATTTACATAAATAGCACACAATTCTTATGTATTTTCATATCTCACACCTAAACTTTCATATTTACATTCATAGCATGTTAGTGCTTTAAACTCATAACACTGTCATTGCCGGGTCCCAAGTTACGGATGTGAAAAGTGAATGGTTGTGTTAGGCAGTCGACAACCAGCGTAAAATTTGTCGAAAAATCATGACATGATTCCTTTTGATTATTGTGTAAATGCTAGGAGTCCCCTGGAAGCGATGTGTTGTATGATCTGGATATAGTGAAAAGTGTGCAAGGGCTGCTACACCGACGTCCAAGTGTAGTGTCAAATAAACAAGAGTTCTCATATTACAGACAGATGAGGATAAATAAGTTATTTCATGAAATTAATATTAGGATATAATCTTGAAATATAGTATTCTCACAAGTGAATTAATAAAATTAGTTGATATTATGATTCATGGAAAAATAAATATCTTATGTATTCAAGAAACTAAATGAGTTGGAGAAAATACTAAGGAGATTGATAACTTTGGCTTTAAACTCTGGTATTCAGGTAAGAGTCACACTAGAAATGGTGTAGATATAATTATAAATAAAAGATTGAAAGATAATGTAGTGAAAATTAATGGAATTGGAGATAAAATTTTAACCCTTAAGATTATTATTGATACTAAAATTTTTAATATTATAAGTGTTTATGCTTCTCAAATAGCTTTAGATATAGGTTCTAAAAAAAATTCTGGAATGACCTAGAAAACTTAATTCAAATGATACCTCTTGAAGAAAAAACTTTATTAAAAGATATTTAAATGGACATTTTAGTAGTGGTAGAAGATTTTAGAAATATTCTTGGCGGCTATGATTTTGAAGTGATTAATGAAGAAGGTATAGTTGTATTAGATTTTGTTTTAGCATGTAATTTTACTATTGCTAATACTTTATTCAAGAAAAGAGATGAACATATTATTACTTATAAGAATGTATCTAATAAAACACAAATTGATTATTTTCTTATGAGAAAAAGTGATCGTCGAGAATGTAAAGATTGCAAGGTCATTGCAAGTGTGGATTTAAGTACTTAACGTCAATTATTAGTTATAAATTTTAAGATTAAGAGTTGTAAAATAAAGAATATTAGTAATCATTGTCGTAGAATTAGATAAAGACACCTAAAAGATAAATAAAATTATTTTTATGAGTAAAATATAAAATTTCAGGATTTGAGATGTTTATGAAGAAGTAAATTCTATATGAGATAATTTAACAAATACTATTAAACAAGTGGCAAAAGATGAACATGGAGAATCAAAAGAAAAATTTTCTATAAATTAAAATAGTTGGTGGTTGAATAATAACGTGCAAGAAAAGATAAAATATAAGTTATGTTGTAAAAATTGATTTAAATGTAAAAGCTTTGAGAAATGAGAAAAATATAAATGGCCCGTAGGGAGTCTTAGAGAACAAGTTGTGACGCTGAAAATTATGTTTTTAGTGATCTTTATAATAGATTAGATACTAAAGATGGTGAAAAGTACATGTGTAAACTAGCTAAACAAAGAGAAAAGAAAAATAAAGATTCAACTCAAGTAAAGTGTATTAAAGATGAAAATCAAAAAATATTTTTCTTAGAAAAATGTATTCAACATAGGTGAGTGAGTTATTTTGATGAACTTTTAATGAAATTTTTGAAAATAAGATTGAACTTAGTGATCTTAAATCTTGAATAATAACAAAATGTTTCATTTTTAACGTCACATTAGTAAAAAAGTTGATGAGACTTTAAAGAAAATCAAGTGTGGAAAGTCTGTAGGAGCTGATGATATCCCAATTGAAGTGGGGAAATATATAAGAGATTTGAGAGTTTCTTGACTTACTAAACTTTTTAATTTTATTTTAAAACTAAAAAAATGCCCGATGAGTGGAGGAAGAGTATTTTGATCTTCATTTTTAAGAATAAAGGGGATGCATAAGAATGTGCAAATTATAGAGGAATTAAGTTGATGTGTCATTCTTTAAAATTATGGGAGAGAGTAATTGAACATAGATTAAGACGTATTACAAAGATTTCTAATAATCAATTTAGTTTTATGCCGGGCAGGTCTACTATGGAAGCTATACATTTATTGAGAGGTTTGATGGAGAAGTTCGTAGAGAATAAGAAGGATTTACATATGATTTTTATTGATTTAGAAAAAACTTACGATAAGGTTCCAAGAGATATCCTTTGGAGAGTTCTGAGAGTAAGGGGGATCTACATATAAATTTTATTGATTTAGGAAAAAATGTATGATAAGGTTCTAAGAGAATTTCTTTGAAGAGTTCTAGAAAAGATTGTCTATGTCTCTTATTTAAGTCATTAAAGATATGTATATTTGAGGTGTTAATTGTCTTCAAATAAAACAAGGATTGACCACGTATTTTCCAATTTCAGTTGGATTACATTAGGGATCGACTTTAAGCTCATATCTTTTTGCTTTAGTTATGGATGCTCTTATTCTTTTTGCTTTAGCTATGGATGCTAGGATGTACCTTGGTGTATGCTTTGTACCTTGGTGTATGCTTTTCGCTGACGATATACTTCTCGTGGATAAGATTAGAGAAAAAAGTTCAGGAAAAACTCGAATTATGAAGGTCTATATTGAAGTCTAAAGGCCTTCGTTTGAGTAGAATTAAAACTGAATATATGGAATGTAATTTAAGTAGTAGTAGCTCTAAATTATTAGAAGGTGTGAACACTTTAGATATCTCTGGTCTATTGTTCAAAGTGATGGTGATATAGATAGGGATCTTATTAGTAGAATTCAAGCTGGTTGGTTGAAGTGGAGGAATGCTTCCGGTCTATTGTGTGATAGTAAAGTACTGCTTCCACTGAAAGGAAAATTTTATAAGATGGTGGTGAGACCTGCAATGCTCTATGGCGCTGAATGTTGACCTTTAAAAGAGAAGCATAAAACTATGTTAAGTGTTGCCAAGATGAGAATGCTTAGGTGGATGAGTGGCTTTACACTTAGAGACAAAATACGAAATGAATATATCCGTGATAGGGTTGATGTAGCTCCAGTGGCAGACAAAATTAGGAGTCGTCTTAGATGGTTTGGTCACATTAAACGTCGACCATCTGATGATCCGATTATGAGAGTAGATGTTTTAGATTCTACTTATGTTCAGAAAGACAAAGGTAGACCTAGAAAAACTTGGGCATATTGTCTAAAAAATATTCTTAATTTATCAAAATTAAATGAAAACATGACACTCAGTAGGACGCAATGAAAAAAAAGGATTCATGTAGCTGACCCCACTTAGTGGGATAAAGATTTGTTGTTGTTGTTGAAACCCATGCATGAAAAGGTGTATTTCACCTTCATAATAGTGTTATTTTTTATCTAACATCAGAGATTTTAGTGTTATGTGTGTAATTATGAAATTAGGTGTAAAATAATTAAAATACATTAGAATTTTGTGCTGATATATGTATATGGCCATTCCCATGTTTTCCACCTTAGCTAAATTTTCTTAATTTCAATTTTTTTCTTTTTCTAGATTGTAAATGATTTGAAGTTCACAGTCACTCAAGCGGTGGAACCAATGGAAAAGGGTCTCACTAGGTTTAATGAGAAGCTTCACAAGATATCTCAGAATATAAAGAAGCATGAGAAGGACAAAAGGAGAACCAAAGATGACAGTTTCATAGGCTCCTCGTCGCCTTCTAGGAGAGTTATTCGCGGCATAGATGATCCGCTTTTGAACGGTACTGTAAGCGACTGTAGCTCGTCGAAGGGAAGACGACACCGTCGAAAATCCGGCTATAACAGTGCTGGGAGCGGCGGAGAAAGCAGTAGTGATCATAGTTTTGGCAGATACGAAATCCGTGGCTATAGATGGATTACCAAGGATTGAAAATTTCTCACTATTTTTTCAGGAGGATTTACATACATACCACTTAATTCCCTATTTATTTACATATTTCAACATCTAAATTTTAATTTTTATATACATCACCTTATCTATGCATGGAAAGATGCATTTCATTGTCTTTTTAAGTTAAAATGTTGGTATGTTTTACATGATATGAAAGACTTGAGTGATATAAATGTATAAAAACAAAGTTTAGGTGGTAAATACGTAAATATATAGGAATTCGTTGGTATGCATGTAAACGCCGGTTTTTTCTTAAAGGTTGCCTTATAAATCCCTTGGAGTAATGTGTATTAGACCACAAAAACATAGTTTTTATTAGGAACATTCTCTTATATTTATATGGGAATGATGTTTCAATGATTGTCATGTCATTTTGTTGGATACATACTTGCTAGTTCTCTCAATTTTGCTTGTAGACTTTTTTGTAAATTGATATTTTATGAAACAATACCTCACATCTGTTACAATGGTGTTCACTGCAAATAAAAAGTTTTCAAACAAATTGTCATGTATGCAGTTCCAAGTGAAATATACATTTTTCATGTTTAAGTTTGATGTGAAAATTTTTATCTTTAGACAACTTGTCATGCTTACTAATATTTTGTGCAGCTATGTAGCGAGATAATATCACATCAGAGCGTCATGTGTCAAGTGAGTCTCATAGTAATATACTGGTATTGACCACTGTTAAGAATTTTGAGGCCTGCTTGACACGTGGCGCCCCATCATAAAACTCTGAATACATCAACACTCTTGATGTAATATTTTTTAGTAACTTCTAAGACATAATTACATCTCTAACTTTTTTTTTTTTTTTTTTTTACATCATGGCTGATTTCATAAAAATATCCTTTCATAAACTGTCAGCAATCATAAAGATGATGAATGAAACACATAATTCTTATAACAACTTATAAAAAATATCACTATTCATAGCTTTTAAAAGTGAAATATACTTTTTCAGACATTGGCTTATAAAAGCAAAGAGGTGTAAATGTAAATATTGAATTTTAGGTGTCAAATACAGCAAATTTTGTGGTATGTGTAAGATTCCTATGAAAGAAAGGGCTTAGCGAGAGTATAGATTGGAATGGTTGGCTCTCATGTATTTACATATCTAAAAGCTAAAATTTGATTTATACATATATGTATTATCTTATATATGTTTTGAAATGTGTATTTTAGTTTTTAAAAGTTAAAATGGTGATGTTTTTTATGCGATATAAAAATTTTCCGACAAAAATGTTAAAAAGTTAAAACTTTTTCTTGGGACGTTTGAGCAGTTTTAATCGAGACATACGTTGCTTATGTAAATCCTTGAATCCAATAGCTTTTGGTTGAAAAATAAAGTCTGAACCAATAAGTTAAGGGTTTGTTTGAGGAAGCTGCAACTTATTAAAATGCAGCTGTGAAATCGCTGATCTAATGTTCAAAACCTGCGATGGTTATTATAGCACCAAGTTAGGATCGGTGATAAACACAAATTTGGTTTTTTGAAAAAATCATCAAAATACAGTTTAACTAAACAAACAAAATTGTTGTGTGGTACTGCACCGTCACCGCAATGTCACCGTAAATGGATACTAACATGGCTAGTATTAAAAAGTGATATTTAGATGTTAAATATGATTAATTATGCATAAAAAATATATATTTCACTTTTTAAAACACTAAAATTAGAAAATAATTAAAATTTAAAAAATTAAAGGACTAAATTATGAAAGCCAATCAACTAACAAAAATTTCGGGATTACATGTGTAAATACATGATAATTGAGTGGGATGTGTGTAAAAGTTTCTAGCTATATTATCTCCACCAGC